GTCAGTCACTTCTCCTCCATCCTCCTCCTGGAATTTTGGGCATTCATGCACATGCACTTAGCATGATTTGCAAGCCACCAGTTCCAGGACTCAAACCATGGTCAGCCAAGTGGGGGTACAGCTCCTTAACCACCATTTACTTGCTGGTCCCTCCACTGTTTTCTTTATTCCTGTTATTCCAAGTTTCCCTCTGATACCATTTTCCCTCTGAAAAACTTCCTTTAGTAATTCTTTTAGAGCAGGTCTGCTGGTGATAAAATGTTACTTTTCCTTCACTGACTCTGATTTCTGAAAAATGCTTTTGTAGTATTACTGTGCTCCATTACTTTCTTGTATCACCCACATGTAGTGCCACTTCCTTTTAACCTCCATGGTTTCTGGTGAGACATCTATCATTTTAACCTGTTCCTCTAAAGGCAGTATGCTATTATTTCTCGACTGCTTTTTTTCATCTTTATTTTTCAGAAATTTGAAGTCTAGGTATGTTATCTTTGGGATTTTTCTAGTGAGGGTTTGCTGACATGTAGGTTTATGGATATATGTGGATTTTTTTTTTTTTTTTTTGGTTTTTGCCTAAAAAAAAAGGCATATGCAGTTGCCAGAGAGAAACAATGAAAGGGAAAGTAAGGAATCACCCATGGGAGGGAAAGGGAGAAATTATCCCTTTACTTCCATTCTCCTCTTGGGATTTTGGACATACACACCCAAGTCCAGGTCCTGAACCATGGTCAACCATGTAGGACTTCAGCACCTTAACCACTATGCCACCTGTTGGCCCCTTCAAATATATTTTTTAGACCTGCTTTTGTCTCATAGTTCAGTACCTTAACTACTATGCCACCTTTTGGCCCTTCAAACAAATTTTTAGACCTGCTTTTCTTACTATCTCATAGGTCTCTGAGGCTTTGTTCATTTTTGTTGTTGTTCAGATTGGGTAACTGCTGTTTTTTGAAGAGGTTTTTGCTATAGGGTGCATGCACTCACCAGAAAGACAGAGACAGACAGAGAGACAGAAAGCAAGAAACCACCCCCCAGAAGAGATGTCCACACCGCAATCCTCCATTCTCCTCTCGGGATCCTGGGCATGCACACACACAGGCCTGGCATGAGTTTAAGCCACTGGGTCCAGACTCGAACCACCGTTGACTACATAGGAATCCACTGACACAGCCATTATGCCAACTGCTGGTACTGGATAATTGCTTTTTTAAAGAGAGATTTTTTGCTATAGGGCATATATGTACGTTGGAGACAGAGGTAAGATAAAAAGCAAGAAATCACCCCTTAGGCAGGATGGCCACTCTGCAATCCCTTCTTCTCCATTCTCATCCTGGGATCTTGTGCATGCATGCATGCATGCATGCACACACACCCAGCCTGGGTGGCATGAGCCACCATGTCCAGGACTTGAAACACAATAGCCCACGTGGGAGTCCAGCGACAACCATTAAGTCATCTGCTGATCCCAGATTGGATCATTTCTATTCATCTATCTTCCCGTTCACTGTTCTCATTTCCATTCTACTGAGTCTACCCAGTGAGTTTACTGTTACATTTTTACATAATACAAGAAATTTGTCATGACTTTTCCCACATCCCAATAGCCACTTAAGTCTTTGTCAGATAATCCCAGCATCTGTATCATTTTTGGTGTTAGCTAATTGTCTTTTCCTATACAAGCTGAGATTTTTTCCAGTTATGTGTAGGTTAAGTAATCTTGAATTATATACTTGACATTTTGAATATATATGAATCTCTGGACCATATTTACTGCTAATTTATGTATGCCATTAGAATCAGTCACACAAGCACAGCTTGAGGGTAAGCAAGTACTCATGAACAACAAAAGGGGTTGCTTTCCCAAGTATCTACCTCTCCACAACCTTCCAGCACTTTCTGGTTGTAAGGGGCTCACTACTGCAATCCTCTAGTCAAAGAGCTGGAGCTTTATAGGCTTTGATGACTGGGACTACATCCAGGCAAAGCAGAAGAAGAGTAGGAAAAAAACAATGGGAGCTTATTTTACTATGTTAATACCATAGCTCCTCCAAATAGAGAAAAAGGTTCTCTTCCCCAAGATTCTCTTTATATTAAACCTTCTTTAATCTTGCTGAAAATGATGTTTCCACATCATTAGTAACTTCTTGACTTTGGAAAATAGTATTCTGAGGGACCAGCAGATGGTCTAGTGGTTACACTGCTGGACTCCCACATGGCCAACCATGGTTTGAATTCCAGACCCAGTGGCTTGAAAATCATACCAAGCGAGCGTGCATGAGTGCCCAACATCCTAGGAGGAGACTGGAGAAGGGACTGCAGCATCGCCATTCTCTCTCTGGAGGAGGAAGTGATTTCTCACTGTCTCTGTCTCCTTTTCTCCCTGACAGGAATACGTACCCTAAGGCAAAAACTTGTAAAAAAAAGAAAAGAAAAATAGTGTTATGGTCAAATCTTTTTTTTTTTTTTTTTGAAGAGGTTTTTGCTATAGGGCACGTGCGCTCGCCAGAAAGACAGAGAGAGACAGAGAGACAGAAAGCAAGAAATCACCCCCCAGGGGAGATGGCCATGCCGCAATCCCTTCTCCTCCATTTTCCTCTCGGGATCTTGGGCACGCACGCACACGCACCCGGCATGAGTTTAAGCCACCGGGTCCGGGATGCGAACCGTGGTCGACTACATGGGAGTCCAATGACATAGCCATTATGCTAACTGCTGGTCCCTTCTGGTCAAATCCTTTCTCCACCAATAACTAAAAGATAATAAAGGGTATGTCAAACGCCTGTGATGGTAAAGTGTTTTTATTAAATTTCAGTAATAATACACATAAAAATTAAGTTAAAATTTTTTTAACTAGTCAATAAATTGCTATAACATTAACTGCAAAAATTAATGTTGATGCTCCTGAACTTTGAAGCATAGTCTTTTTCAAAGACTGGGGAAAAGCTTGATTATAATGAAGATAATAGACAGAAAGCTCTATTGCTCTTTAGCTTTCTCCAGAAACTTAAAACTCTGAATAGTAAGAAACTGCAGCAAATATAAACAATGCAGCCTTAGGAAGAAGAATCAGTTACAATGCACTGCAGAACAGATTTCATCTCCAGCTTTTCAGTGGAGATAACACAGAGTCAAGGAGATCCATAATCACAGTTGCTAATGCTGACACAAATATCAGCAATAACAAACTGAGGTTAAATGGGAAAACAATATTGATGGCAAATGATATAGCTGAGAGTATATTCTGCTCAGATTGGAATACAACAATAAAGTTTGAGAAGTTAATGAGAAGATAATACCTTCAGATAAAGACAGACATCAATGATTCAGGAAACATAATTCACAGTTAATGACAAGCAAATTAAAGATAAAAATGAAAAAAGCATATGGGGAAAAAGTAATTTGGAATGAACATTCTTTCATAATAACACAAGAATTCCACAGGGAAGATTTCTTAGTAAGAACAAAAGAGGAAAATCAGAATAGGTATGAGGTTCTGGAAGAAAAGATTTGAACATAAATCACCTGCTCTCAGCACACTCACTCTGCTTTTAATTAAAGCAAACACTCGGAAATATTCTTGCTCAAAGCCCCAAATTTATACAATGCCACCTCTAAAGAGGCAAAAAGAGAACAATCTAAACTTAAAAGCCCCTTACCTCTGCACTATCACCTTTCTTCTGGTTTAAGGGATGTTTTGATTTATAAAAGGACCCTAAATATTGTGTATGACAAAAATAAAGACATTATGTCATAACAGAACTTCATAATATTTTGATTAAATTATAATCATTAGTGCAATGCCTGCCTAATTTCACTGAGATAAAAAAACAAACTGATATTAGGAGTTTAAAACTGGTTAAGGAGGCCAGCAGGTGACTTGGAGGTTAAGGTGCTCGATCCCACATGGCTGATTTTGTGGTTAATCTGAGATCTTGCATCTTAAGAATCATGCACATGGCCTATGTGCATGTACGCCCAAAATCCTGAGAGGAGAGCACAGAAGGGACGGTGGTGTGGCCATGTCCCCAGGGAATCATTTCTTATTTTCTCTCCCTCTCTGATAAGCACACACGTCCTATCGCAAAAAAAAAAAAGAAAAG